TGCAAGAGATTCCCACTACATCAAGATAGATTGGCCACTCCAACAGTCATTGGAGCCTGGGAGGAAAAGTGTTCAGCATCCGCCACTTGTTGAATCAAGGAAGAGTTTGTTACCACCCTTACACATCAAGCTGGGTCTGATGAAGAACTTTGTCAAGGCCATAAACAAAACACAAGCAGCTTTCAAGTACCTCCTTGGAAAATTTCCAAGGTTAAGTGAAGCTAAGATAAAGAAAGGTGTCTTTGTTGGTCCTCAGATTCGTGAACTTCTTCCGGAAACAAGAAGGCAGACAACTACAGGTTGTTGGTGGAAAACCTCCTCAAGGTATACAAAAGCCTTGGTTGCAACATGTCACTAAAGATACATTTTTTGCACTCTCATCTAGATTTTTTTCCACAGAACTGCGGAGCAGTGAGCGACGAGCACGGCAAGCGATTTCACCAGGACAATGCAACAATGGAGAAACGCTTCAGGGCAAATGGAGCCCATCAATGCTTGCAGACTATTGCTGGACAGTGACGAGAGATACTCCATTTAATGAATACAGGAGGCAAGCCAAGAAGCGCAGAGTAGACACTGCAAAGGACTAAACTATGTACATAATAGTTTTTTGCCTTTTGTTTCATAATACATTTTATTTATATAACCCTTTTGCTGATTTTTAAAGTGTTACATAAACAGGACAGGTGAAATATTATCATGTAAAGCAACCATAAACACATGAAAAGACCTAGGTTTACAATTTATGATTAAAACTCTACTATCTACACAATATACATAGACCTAAAATGTAAAAACTTAAATATCTTGGAAACAGTAGCCAATCAGTTGTTTTAATTGTCATATTTGAATTCAGCACATCAAAATACATAATAAATAGCACATTTTATCTCTGAAGCAGACGACTTCTAAAAAATTGTAGAACCAGGGGTATATATTTAATAAGAATGCTCCCCTGACCTGATTTAGTTGAATAATAGGAAAACCTCACATCAATCAGCTTTGATTGGGTTTATTGACTAATAGGTAGCAGCAAAGAACAGATACATTTACTAATATCTGTTGAAAATCTTCCACTACCATTCTCTGACAGCCTGGGTCCAGATAGGGGAGACGGAGCAAAAGAGGCAGCTACCCTCAGGACCAGTGTTTTGAAAGGGTGCAGGGCTCCCAGTTGCCGGCTATTGCTTTAAACTGCCACTGGAGCTCTGTGGAGCACTGAAGGGGCTATTTGGAGGAATCTAGCTCCCAGCCTCCCCCTTCCACCTGAGACCCCACCCCATCCAGGGGCCCAAAGCCGTCTCCCACAGCTTGCTAAGGTCCAGCAAGGTCTGTTGGCTCCCTGATCCAGACTGCAGATGGTCCTACTTCCTCGAAGATGTACGGCCGTTACACCTTTATGTTTGTCAGGCTGGTCCTTATTTATTCCTCTTTTTGGTTCACACTTCTTATCTGAAGCTATTTGCAAGGTTCTCTGTTCCATTACAAATTTCGTACCACCTCAGCATCTAATGCTTAGTCATAAATTTGCCCTTTTTTTCAATACTTATTTCATACCTTGAAACTAGTACCTTGCTAAAATATCTCTTAGAACAGTTTTCAAAACATGGTAATGATTAATGCTTGGCAAATTTCCACTCTCTAAAGTTAGCTTCATCTTAACTGCAATTAAATTAGGATAAGAACATGAGTTGAACGGTCAGTTCACCTCTGGAGCCCTTTTAAAACATTGGCATCACATCAACTATCCTCCAGTCTTATGCTACAGAAGCTGACTTAAACAATACATTACAAGCCACTGTTAATACTTCTGCAATTTTACATTTGATTTTCTTCAGCACTCTTGGACGAATACCATCTGAACATGCAAGCCTTGCTCCTAGGTTTCTCTAATGTTTCTAGGTTTATCTAATAGGTCAGCGTAACCAGGGGAAAAGTTTCCCAGCTCAGCGAGTTAAAATAGTATGTATCTTATCAAGCAGAACCAGTTTCCATTATGGTAATGGAAAGTATCAGCAAAATAGCAGTAACATTAGTCATACCACCTTACCACTCTACTCAATAACATCTGTGTACTGTGCTACATAGACCTGTTTTTTGTTCCAGTTACACCGGTCTAACACGGCTACATTTCTATCACTAGGAAATAATTATAAGTCTCTTGCCCTCTCCCCAACTGTTTTTTTCATGAAAAAGTTTTCAATGGTTTCAGTTTTACCCAATGAGGAATGAAATGCCCTATGCTGGCACAGATTCTCATTTATAGTGATATGCAGAGGCCCTATTGTAAACAAGAGTTTGGCCCATTATCTTTTCGATACAAAGACAGTGACTCGGGTCTCTCTCAGTTAAACCAGCTCAGTTATGCCCAGTTACTCTGTCTGGGTTAGGAGTGGGTAGAATCAAAATTTGGAACTCAAATAAGCTGAGCCTGCTCTGCGAGTTACAATTTTTGTTTGCACCCACTCCCAACCCAAATAGGTTAGGTGGCCTGCTGAGGTAAGTCAGGGGGTGAAGGTGGCCTTCCCTCCCTGAAGCCTGCCCCATGAGCCTGGCCCTAGCTAGCTGGCATCCCCATCTTGAGCCACCCCACATTTTAAATATACCTCTATACTAACTCTAAAATCTTGTTCACCATTACAGAATTTTTCGTGCTTCAGGGGGTAGCTGAGTTAGTCTGTTACAGAATAAACAACAACAAATGGTCTGGTAGCACTTTATAGACCAACAAAACATGTAGATTTTCATGTAGGCCCTAACAAGAGCTCAGGTACCTGGTTTGAAAGTCACTAGTGGAGATGGATTCTACATCCACTGAGACTCATAGATAACTAGATGTGTCAACTCTGATGTGAAATTATATGTGATTATGCAATTAAGTTATAATTAGCAAAGTATAAGACACTCAGGTAAGCTTATCAGGAAGCAGAGATTTCTTAACAGTTTCCCAATACACAGCAGAAGGAAGTAAAAATCAAATACCAATAACATCTTTTTAGAAGAGTATATTACAAAACCAGTGTGATAGCCAGTTCCAGTTAAATCTTTATACCGTCTGTGACTGAGTCATGACCAAAGCAGGAAATTGGTGAGCTGTATATAATATATATTGTTTCCGGAAAAGAAATCCATTCACTTCCACAAACGCTTGAAAGGAGCAGAAGACATTGCCTATCTATCCAGAAAGGAAAAGGTAAGATTTACATCCGTGGGTTTTGCCCATGAAAGCTTATGACACTATTTATATGTATAGTTTGTTATCTCAAAGGTGCCACAAGACTACTCCTCTGAGGCTACATCTAGACTACAAGCCTCTTTCAAAAGAGAGAATCTAGACTGCAACCACTTCTTTTGAAAAAACAAGCCACTTTTTTTTTTCAAAAAACCATGCTGTCTGGTCCCTATCATCTTATTATCTTCCAAGTGTTTGCAGATGATTTCCATTATCTTTCCTGCACAGAAGTTAAATTGACTGGTCTGTAGTTTCCTGGGTTGTTCTTTTTTCCCTTTTTATAGATGGGCACTGTATTTGCCCTTTTCCAGTCTTCTGGAATCCCTCCTGTCTCCCATGATTTTCCAAAGGTGATAGCTAAAGGCTCAGATACCTCCTCTATCAGCTCCTTAAGTATTCTAGGATTCATTTCATCAGGCTCTGGTGACCTGAAGACATCTAACTTTTCTAAGTGATTTTTAACTTGTTATTTTTTTATTTTATCTTCTAAACCTATCCCTTTCTCCCTAGCATTCACTATGTTAGGCATTCCTTCATCAGACTTCTTGGTTAAGACTGAAACAAAGAAGTCATTAAGCACCTCTGCCATTTCCAAGTTTCCTGTTACTGTTTCTTTCTCCTCACTGAGCAATGGGCCTACCCTGTCCTTGGTCTTCCTCTTGCTTCTAATATAGTTATAGAATGTCTTCTTGTTCCCTTTATGCCTGTAGCTAGTTTGAGTTCGTTTTGTGCCTTTGCCTTTCTAACCCTGCCCCTGCATACCTGTGTTATTTGCTTATATTCATCTTTTGTATTTGACCTAGTTTCTATCTTTTATGAGACTCCTTTTTGATCATGTAAGATCTCCTGGTTGATCCAACGTGGCCTTTTGCCAAATTTTCTATCTTTCCTATGCAGGGGAATAGCTTGTTCTTTCAAAGGGAATAATGTCCCTTTGAAAAATTTCCAACTCTCTTCAGTTCTTTTTCCCCTCAGTCCTGCCTCCCATGGGACCTTACCTATTAGCTGTCTGAGCTTACTAAAATCTGCCTTCCTGAAATCCATTGTTTCTAATTTGCTGTTCTCCCTTCTATTATAGCTTAGAATCAGGAACTCTATGATTTCATGATCACTTTCACCCAAGCTGCCTTCCACTTTCAAATTCTCAACCAGTTCCTCCCTATTTGTTAAAATCAAATCTAGAACAGCTTCCCCCCAGTAGCTTTTCTAACCTTCTGAAATAAAAAGTTGTCTCCAATGCAATCCAAGAACTTATTGGATAGTCTGTGCCCTGCTGTGTTAGTTTTCCAACATACATCTGTATAGTTGAAGTCCCCCATCACCACCAAATCCTGCACTTCGGATGTTTTTGTTAGTTGCTTAAAAAAAGCCTCATCCACCTCTTCCACCAGGGTAGGTGGCCTGTACTAGACCTCTAGCATGACATCACCGTTGTTTTTTACCCCTTTTAGCCTAACCCAGAGACTCTCAACATGTTCGTCTCCTACGTCCATCTTCACCTCAGACCAAGGGTATGTCTAGACTACAAGCCTCTTTCGAAAGAGGCTTTTTCAAAGGAATCTTTTGAAAAAGCCTCTTTTGAAACAGAATGTCTAGACTGCAACCACTTCTTTTGAAAAAGCAAGCCGCTATTTCAAAAGAGAGCACCCAGGCAGTCTGGATGCTCTCTTTCGAAAAAGCCCCATTTGCATTCAAGAACGCCTTTTTTCGAAAGAGCACTTTCGAAAAAGGCATTCTTCCTCGTAAAATGAGGTTTACTACGGTCAAAAAAACCGCTGCGTTCTTTCGATTTAATTTCGAAAGAACGCAGTAGCAGTCTAGACGCAGGGGAAGTTTTTTCACAGAAAGGCCACTTTTTTCAAAAAACCTATAGTCTAGACACACCCCAAGTGTATACATTTTTAATATATAAGGCCACACCTCCTCCTATTTTTCCCCTCCATAATCTCTGCCCGATGCTTTTTGTGCAAGAGGTTTTTGTGCAAAAACAAGCAGTGTAGACGGGTCCATTTTGCATTAAAAAAAAACCCCTTTTGCACAAGATCCTTATGCCTCAAAAAAAGACGTATACAGATCTTGCACAAAAAGTGGACTCGTCTCCACTGCTTGTTTTTGTGCAAAAACCTCTTCGCAAAAAGCATCGGGCAGAGATTATGCAAATGAAGCATGAGAAGTTGCTAATGAGCACTTCATTAGCATACTCTCTGCCGGAAAAAGAGGTGGGGTAGTTGTAGCCTGGGATGGGCACGATGGGCAAGTGCAATCCTAGAAGTGAGCAGCAAGGGGACACTGCAAAGGTATATAGTGCATGAGCTAATTCAGTGCATCCTCTTTGCAGTCTCCACAGGGCAGATTCCTATGGGGCTCTGGCTGGAAATTAAAGCTGTTGCCACATAACAAAAGCCCCAGGACAGGGTGGCAGCAGAAGTGATGTCTCCTCTACTCCCATGCAGGTAAATTAGAAACTCACTGCACTGTTAACTCAGCCCATACTCTAAAAGAGAACCCTGTAGTATAGGAGTACTGTAGTATAGTGAGGAAAATGCAGGAGGCTGGTTGGTTCCTGGTGCTCTTAGGAGAGACAGAGAGCGGAAATAAAAAATCCCCTAGACATATCTAATATATGAAGGAGAATGTTTGTAAGTTTGTGCGCTAATAACTTGGCCACTATAAGACCTACTGCAATTAAACTTTCCATGGGATAACCTTTCCTCCAAAAAGTTTTAAGGGACTGTCAGAGGAAAGAGATGAGAAACCGATGCCTCTCCCCGGGGCTGCACGCGCTTGGCAGTGTGGGGAGAAGTGGCTTCCCAGTCATTGCTGGAAGCATATGGAGGCCCTTCTTCAATGCTCTGATTGGCTTGGGTCCTGGCGGCCGAACAATGGGGGGGCCTGGCGGCCGACCAATGGGCGGGCGGGTTGCTGCTGGGGCTCGCTCTAGGCTTAGGGGGTGGGGCTGGTGTTACCGCTTAGCTGCCATTTTGAAAAAATTTCTGGAAGGAGGTGCATTGGGAACCCAAAGGTGAGGGGGGGAGGGAATGAATGGAGGGGCTGATCCGGGGGACTGGACTGTTGAGGGGGCACGTGGGGAGGAGGGCAGGATGGAGGGGCTGGATCGTTGGGGAGCGGGCTGGTGCAGGTAGGCTGAACCATTGGAAGCAAGTGGGGGAGAGCAGGATTGTGTGTGGGGGGTCGGGATGGACTGTTGGGGGCGAGTGGGGAAGGGCAGGATTGTAGGGGGATGAAGGAAGTGGGGCTGGACAATCCTGCAGGCAGTGAGTGAGAAATGAAGCCCATGGTGGAGGGAGGATCTCCTTTTAGGGGCACTGGCCCAAGGCTCAGCACTGGATGATGCTGGGTGGGTGAGAAATTAATCCAAGGCGGGGGGGATCCCTCAAATCTGGGCACTGGTCCTGGCTTTCATACTGGATGATCCTGGAGGTGTGAGAGATGCAGTCCATGGGAGGGGCAGCTAGTCAAGGGGGTGGTGCTGGAGGAGGGACTATAGAGGTGCCATCAGGCTCAGGTACTTGACTCATAGTTTCATCAAAAAAGATGGGAGACGAGTTTGAGGTGTCACTTTGAAATCTCTCAGATTCAGTAGGGCCAGCCCCATTGATTGAGGCATCCCTATGCTCAGCTCTTGGATGAGAATTTGCAGACCCAGCATGCCTATCCCCTACTTCCCTACCTAAAATACATTAGCTTCTACAAGGATAATTAGCAAAAATACCATCTGATAGTAAGCAAAACATTGCACTATTGAAGAAGGGCTTCCATATGCTTCCAACAATGGTGGGAAAACAAGCTATGGTGATTTGGGGGCTCTCCCTTGCACTGTGCTTTTAATGGCTCCAAGACTCATGCCATGGGAAGAAAACAGAGACATAGTTTCTATTGTGACTTTGCTATCTGAGGGTATGTCTACACTATAAATTTAATTTGAACTAACGGACGTTAGTTCGAATTAACTTTGATAGGCACTACACTAGCGCTCCGCTAGTTGGAATTTAATTTGAACTAGCGGAGAGCTTAGTTCGAACTAGGTAAACCTCATTTTACGAGGCCTAAGCCTAGTTTAAACTTACTAGTTCGAATTAAGGGGTGAGTAGCCCCTTAATTCGAACTAGTGGGAGACTAGCCCTCCCCAGGTTTCCCTGGTGACCACTCTGGCCAACACCAAGGAAACTCTATTGCCCCCCTCCCAGCCCCGGACCCCTTGAAGGAGCACGGGCTGGCTACGGTGCCAGTGCCAGGTGCAAGCCTGCCAGCACCCAGCCAGCAGACCCTGCACCTGGCACGGCTCGAGCCAGC